AAATGTGTAACCAGAGGCTCTGCTTTTTAAGACTAGGACTCTTCAACACCCTTAGAGTTGAACAGAAGAACTGGATATTCACACATTAATCGGATTCTAAGATTTCAGATACTTAAAAATAATGTGGTACCATTGCTCTGTTTTGCTGCCTTCCCTTTAATCTCTGATCTTAGCAACAAAGTCAATGTGCTGTCATCAGTTATCACAAAAGAATGCCATATTATTTGAGAAACAAGCTTGACTGTTTTAAAATCTAAAACAACACAATTACTAAAACTACATGCCTATTGTTGAGAGTATAATTGATAGTTCAGTTACCCAGTGATGACAAAGCTTTTAGAGCTTCCATGGATGCAAACAACCCGCCGTGGCATGCATGCTATTGGTGCCCCACCACTGAGTTACTATACTTTATGCACAGCCTAAAAGATAGTTGCTGAGAGAAAAAGAAATCGGCACTGACACCAAAATAAGAGCTAAGTTAAATCACAGTTAAATTTAAAAATGTAAAAGAAACCACAATACCAAAAATAAAAGTTAAAATAAAAATAGATAGGTACTCTTCCTACCAGGAAGAAGGTTCTTGGCAGACTATGCTAAGTTAGTTGACAGTTATTCCCTAACATCTGGGCTGTAAATTTAAAAATGCAGACTTCATGGTTTCCAGCAAAGGAATTGATTTTTTTTTTTTAATTCTACAAAGCCTCTTGCACTCTGCTTATCTATGTAAGGCCAAAACAAAGACATCACATCAGCAATTGTACTTCTGGAGTCCCCTTCTGGTGAATATCCATCTACCGAGAGCTATTTTCTTCTTATTTCCCATAAATGCTTTCCTAACTTCCTTTTTCTGGTCCCTGATTTCATTCTTAGAGTTCACGAGACAAGAAGTTCAAATTTATAAAAAAATTAACTGCTTTACAATCACTAGATAATGACAATAGGTGACTCAAGTAACATTATATTAACCAAAGAGAATAAAACCCAGAATCATTTATCAGCAACACCTGTATTTTCACAAAGCAACAAAAGGACAAGAAAATGAAGAATATACTTGTATTTTTAAACCCTTAATCAGGAAGTCCTGGCTAGTCAGATTTTAAAATAAGGAACTGTGTCAGTGAGTTGCTATCTTTATACTTCTTGATCCGCACTATGAGCTAGCACCGCTTATTATCACAAAAGCACCAACTGTATAGCCACTAAAATAAGAGTATGTGGACACTATTGTTAAACTGATATTTTTCTTTGTATTTCAGAATGAGTATCAAAAGTAAATCAATGTATTGTAAGAACAGTAAATATGATAAAAACAAAAACACAGTAATATCTTTGCTCATTAAGCATCTGTTTGCAAACAATTCCATTCTCAAACAAAAGCGTTCAGTAGAACTTTGTTTCCATTTACAAACTTCATATCGGGTGACAAACACAACTCCAGCTACTTTCCTCAAAAATTATAAAACAAATTAAATTTATGAACTGAGATACCACTTTATAAACATTCAATAATGTTCCCCAAATTATTATATTTTAATTTTGTTATTGTAGTCCCTGGAGAGAGGGACTAAATTCAAGTACCCTCCACTGGGCCACTTGTAGCCTTCTGCAGATGAAAGCGTCTGGAGATATCTCCATAGAGCAAGAATAGATTGTGATGGACAGTTCTGGAAGGTCAGAAGATGACAGCAGACCAGCCTCTTATAATGGTAGAAGACTATGTATCTGCCCATCATTTCTTAGCTACTCCAGTTCTCTGGAGCTATTAGGCATGAATCAAAAGCAAGGATTTTGGTATACATTTGGACAGACTCTGACCTACCACACGCCTTTCTTACAGGACAGTTCCCTTCATTGTTCCTTTCTTGATCCCAACATCAGGTGACAACTAATCATGTGAGCAGGAGCAAATGTGTCTTTCCCAGCTACAAAGATGCTTCCATTGTTAGGTAATAGTCTCTCAACAGTCACAGCTAATTTTTCATTATGACTTCCTACCACCTGTAATCTGAGAGTCAGATCTCCTAAGGCCCTAAATTCATGTTTGGAAAATCTTTATTTTCTATATTTCCCCTGAATATATTCCACACCCAAGTCCTCATCAAGCTTATATGTCCTGCTCCAGATACAAGTACTGTACTGAAATGCATCATTCCTCCACTTTTTACTTATAGATGGATACATTGATGGTTTGATAGACAGACAGACAGACAGACACAAATCTCCCACAGAAGTCCACTGCTGACTTCTCCACCTCTCACAAATCCCAAATCTTTGCTAATTTTGCGTCTAGAAGGGTAAAAGGCTGACTACATGGTGGTACAGGCTGCAATTTTCTCCATTCTGGGGTGAAGACTGCACCATTTGAAATCTGATAGTCAAAATAGCAAGAATATTGTCTTCTTCAATGAGGATTAGGGAAATTTGGGAGAAAAAGCAGAAAATGTTTGAAACCAGAACAATGGTTTAACTTAGTAAGTCATTACTTTCTGTCAGCTCAACTACTGTCACCAGGATTTCCCGATGATACCTTTCCCAAGACCCTTTTTATTCTCTTACCAAAATTCTCTGGAATTATTTCTTGGTCCCTTTCATTAGCAAGAATATCCCCTCAAAGAACCTTTTGAGGCATTTTTTCTAATCATCCTCCCTATGAAATGTTGTCACAGGTATACTATATATCAGTTTGTATATACTGGCTTTTCGGAGGAACACAAAATATTGTAGTATCTAAGACTTACACACTTCCTATGGCTCAGTCTCACTCCCCGAGAGGCACCACTGATGTTCTCTGAGAATCCTACAAATTCAAGAAATATCTGCCATTTGAAAATTCCTCAAACTAACAGCATATTAGATGTTCTAATTACTTTTAGTGTATATAAAATGATTTTTAAATGTCTACATGTTTCTCTGTCTTATTTCTAAGAGGAGACAGGTACTGAGGAACATATTAAACAATTTGAACTAATCCAAGTGTGTGTGTGTGTGTGTGTGTGTGTGTGTGTGTGTACTTTTACAGTAACTGAAAAACACTGTGAGCTAAAATATAAAGAACTATAAACACAGGGCAGTTTATAGAATTTGGATGAAACAAAGCATTTCCCATATTAACTAGGCAGATGCACAGAGTTTTAACAGTAAAAACCAAAATGAGAATATTCCCTTCCAAAAGAAAAAGAAAAACTCCTCCGAGCTTCGTGCTTTGATTTTAGCCAGCATTTTGGGTTAGTGAAAAATGGTTACATACTTTTCATGTTCTGTCCTTGACTTCTTGTAACTGATACATGTACTTTGGAGACTAAGGATTACAAAATTATGAAGTCATGCAGATCATAAATGGCATTTTACTCTATGCAGCTAAAAGGGCATACAAAGTATAAACTTTAACAAGACTAAAAAGAATCAAGTAGGAAAATATTTGTCTCGTGAAAACCCGGAGTAAAATGAACAGTGAAAATTTGATCTTAAACGTATTTTTAATTTAGTACGCAATTTTTGTGCTTCATATGATTATCAAAAATGCACTGCTGAAATATTTTACATAAAAAAGTCATGTGTTAAAGTAAGCTGAATGTGGTTTCTCAGGCCACATATCTTAGTACTTCACATTACTGAGCACACTGAAATCTAGTCCACTTGTCACCAGAAAATATAAAAAAGTTTTGTGCTTCTGTTTTTAAATTTTATTTATTTATTTATTTATTTATTTATTTATTTATTTATTTATTTATCAATCACAACAGGATTTCGCTATGTAGTTCAAGTTGGCCTTGGAATCACTATGTACCCCAGGCTGGCCTTCAACTCAGGAAAATCCTCCTGCCTCAGCCTCCTAAGTGCTGGGATTACTAAACCTGGCCAAAATATCTATTTTCTTTTCAAAGTCCAAAAATTTTTCAGTGAAGGTTCAATCAAAGATATACCAAAAAACAAGTGATGAGAGAATGAGGTAGCTCATAGGAATCTATCCAGACAGTCAAATGTTGCCAGCTCAAACAGTGAAAGCATTAAGATCAGCTTGCTGATCTCTTTGGGGATGAAATAGAACTTTCAGTGAGCAGGAGAGAATAGTTTTGACGTAGGACAGACCAAAACTTGTGGGTCCGTTCAGGTACAAAGCAGAAACAGCTGCAAAGTGATGGGAACACCAGCTGCAGCCAGATATTCAAGGCTGAATCATTTTCAGATGTTGGTGGAAGCCCCAGAAACTAAAGGCGCTCAAGCTAGAGTCTCTGGAACCCGGACCCAGGTGTCTTCCAGAGCAAACAAAATCACCCGGGCTTGGGACCCCGTGGAAGAGAGCTGTTCCGGGATGATCCGGATGATCGCTCCTTGCAAACAGCTGGAAAGTGGCCCTGAAAGGAAACTGCGGCAGAAGCCAGGCCCCCTGCGGTACACTGGAAACCCCGGAAGCCCTCGCGCCAGCCTGAGTTTCTGAGCCAAGCTGAGCTCGGGTGCGAAAGTCACGTAAGGGAAAGAAAGGGCAACACCACCCCTCCTAAAGCAAATAACACATCAACGCGCTGTCCCTGTGCGCCCTGTTCAACTACTCTACTGCCCTACAGCTCTTCGTGCCCCCACCTTCATAAATCCATATCCCCAGCGAGGGCCGCTCTGGACTCCTCCGCCTATCACAAACGCCCGATCTTTGCTACTTTCAAGTCCAAGAGTCTGGCCAAGGGACGGCGCAGCCTCCAACTTTCTCCAACTCTGGGATGAGACGCCGCATCCTGGATGGAGGCTCCGGGACACAGACGACGTCCCCGAGTCCAGCGAGCTGGGCCACCTGCCCCGAACTAGTCCCCGCGGACGCGTCCCACACTCTCAGTCCCGTTGCGGAAGAAGGGGTTCTCTTAGGATTGGGGACAGGCAGAAATCCCCTCCCGAAACGAGGCGTTTAGTCCGCGTTCACGAGAAAAATGGGGGGTGGGTGGGGAGGGGTTGCCTACAACAGAAGTTTTTTTTCTTTTTTAGATTAAAAAAAATGAGCCTCTTACCATCTCGCCTAAGATTGGCATTGCGCAAAGCTCTGATGGATGCGCTCTGCGGGGTCGCAGAAGTGTCCCGATAGCTGCAGAAGTGTACGCAGATTAGAGTGTAGACGAGGCTGAGCCGGCGCATTTGGGATTAGAGACCTAAGGACAGTGTCGCTCCAAGAAAAAAAAAAAAAAACAAAAAAACAACTCCGATTTGCACCGGGGGCCGTGCCGCCCGCCCCGCGCTGGCCGGCAGCTGTGCTCGCCGCGGCGCGCTCCGCAAACGTCCTGCGCGCTCAGCTCGGCGAGCGCTGGTGCCTCACTTCCTCGCAGGGCTGAGGAACGGCGACGGGCCAGCAACAGGTTGGCGGTTGTTCGCCCCCTCCGGTGGCCAGCTCGCGGCAGCACA